AAAGATGGACCTTTCTTCTTTAGGGGCAAACTGGGAAAGGTCCATCTTTCAAATAAGCTTGGGTTATAGGGTTTTTATCATTTTTGTATCAAGTTAAAATCTTGTGTCACTTTAGCCCTATTCATGTTCAAAGTCATCATTGATCCATTATAAGACAGCAGCACATTTTACATACATGTTGGTCCTAACAGAGGGAGTTGCTTTCATCAAGACTTCATATTTTTTCCTCACTCATGTGGCTTATCAGAGCTGCCTCTCCCATATTGGAGACATCAAAGTTTCTTTTGACACACACAGTGCAGTGTACTTTAATGTTGGATCTATCAGCCTCCAGCTATTCTTTGTATTTCTCCTGTTCCTTCCAAAGTGGCAAAAACCTACATTTCCCCAACTATTTAGACCCAAACATTGCACAACATGAACAGTTGTGAAAAGGTTTAGTGTGAACACTATATCTATGTTAGCTTTAACCATTACTAGTGTTGATTCAAACATAAGAATGCACATGTTGTTTAGGTCTGTGCATGTCCTTTCATTTAAATACTTATTTACTATGTGAAAATGACATACATTCATTGCATATACTTATGTATTGGCCAATCAAGTGAATGATTGTGTTAGCACTTATTACACATCATCATCGTTTCTCTGGTTAGCATTCAGATTTATTAGTTGCTTTTGACAGTATATTTTTAGGTATACTCAATGATGCTGTGAATTTTAATAAATTTACATGTATATTTTACAATTTCTCATTTTCAAGAAATTTTCCAGACTTGCAAAGAAATGTTGCATTTTTCCAAACCTTTATTAACCTGGAAAATAGCATTTTAAAATTTCACACTTTTCCAAAATTTGCCAGACTTTGATTTTTTTAGACAAGAGGGCCAAATTCCAAATAAATCATCAATAAATCACAGCCAAAAAGTGGGTTTTTACCTTCCTTTGTAAAATATATATTTAACGCTTCAGTCTGCAACCAATGCACGAACACTACAGCAAATCTTTTCTTTACAGCCTCATCTTCCAAGTTCTTTAAAATGGAGATAATTTTCCTCTCAAGATCAAAAGTTTGGTTACATAATATAGCTGCCATTGATTTATTTTAATTTTTGTAAAATACCGTGTTCATTCTATGAAATACTGGGCCTATTTGAGTAGCTCTGAAGTCTTGTGGTGACATTTGAATGCATGCATAATTAAAGGTGTACATGTGTATATTAAACTTATGAAAATTGTCTTGTATGCCTTTAAAATTAACTTTTTTTTATACAAGTCCAACTAAAAATGTATATAAAAAACTGGTTCAAAAGTATATCTGAACTTTAGTATTTTTTAAAACCATAAATTCTAAAAAAAATATGAAATGTGTTGGTACAAGGTTATTCATTGCATAAAACTGATGAAAATTACACAGGCCTGCAAATTTAAACTTCATAAAAGTTGTTTTGGTTTTATTAATGGTTTTTCCATAATTCAGCTATGCAGATTTCGAAAATAATATTCTCTTTTTTTCTATCACATAAGGATATTTTACAAATCAGGAAGAAAAAACTTTTACTTAGATTAAATTATTATTAATTCGTTTACCACAATGAACATAATTTACCATTATGTTTGTTAACAAAAATACAAACAAGCTGTAGAAAAGGGAAGAACACTGATGTTAAACAAATATGCATCCTCTTTCATCCTTTTTTTTTTGTGAAATCTACATCTTTTAGTCTCAAAATTTTGTGTTGTGGTCTTTCTTTTATATATTGCATTATGATATTTTGTAGAAAAATCTGTACGTGATGGAGAAAAATGGATATCATTTTCAGATTCAACGTAGAACATGTAAAAATTTTAAGAAAATAAAACCATCGCGGGCCTGTGTTATTAACATACACCTAAGGTAAAATTTAAATAAAGGTCAATGTTGCTGCAACTGTAGAAGAAAAGGAAAATTATAAAACGTGGAACTCCACACAATTAAGATGTATTTGTTAAACCCTGTACGTTACTTGGGGGACTTGTTTCTTGTGAAAAATGACAAGCAATAAAATTATGATTAATATTATAAAGTACTCTTTTTTTTCTTTATTATATCCTTGTTCTTTACTGGAATTAAAAGTTTTTTTTTTCAATTTCATCTAACTTTCAAAATACATACACTTGGAACAGTTGAATATCTTCTACAGATGTTTAAAAGTATTTTGCTTAAGCAACAGTACTGTTATAAATCAAAGAAAATGTTCTGAACAGTGTAGAGTGACATTGAGTAAGATTATAACACTAAGAGAAAATTTACCCCATGAAGGACACTGTAATAATGTAACATTAGGTACTGTAATATGGTGAATAAATATTTATATTTTTAAAATTTTAAGATAAGTAAAAGGAGTTTTTCTTCTGTTACAACCACAACTGTATTTAGCACAATAAAAAAAAATGTAGCTGTTGATATGTGCTGGACTGTGTTCTTTTTAACTACAATAAATAACAAGACCAATCAGAGAGATTGCGTACCCTTGCCCCACTACTCCTTTTTGAAACTGCATTTATTTATATTGGTTAACATAAAATTTCACCTCCTAAAACTCACAAAATCCTTCTTAGATCTAGAATGATTAATGATCCGGATCATTTTGTTTTGTAGTGTGGTGAGGAGTCTCAACCTTAATGTGCCCATGAAATTTGGTACAAATCCGATCACGCTTTATACAGTTATTAACTGAAAACCGAGAAAAATGCCCTATCTCACCAATATAAAAATTGCTTCAAAGTGATCCACAAACCAGATCCGAACCAAATTTGGGGAATATTGTCCCATACTGACTTTCCATCTTTTGTGAAATTTTCGTGTACATCAGTCTATTAGTTTTTGAGATACACAAGCAGAAACACAGACCAGATTGCAATATCCTCGCAGGGTAAGGGTAACAAATACTAGGAAAATATGATGGAAAAATCTGAACAAACATAAGAGAATTTCCACTATAACATTTTAATATTTCATAGGAATCAGTCACAAGCTTTTCATTTTGGTATGAAATATGCTGGATTTAATCTGACACTGAACTGTATATAAAAACAATATATTATAAACAACACAAAACTCACTGCTGTTCCTCTATGTACAAATAAAAAGACATTTGGTTCAGGTCAAAACCGGTCAACCAACTGCAAGATGTACTGTTGTTCTGACTCTTTAGTTACAGAATCCTCAGAATCCCCTAAGTTTCCAGCATACTCTATGAAAAAAGAAATTATAAAAACAAACATTTATAACAAGTCAGAATTAAAAATTCTATATAAAATGGAGTTTTCATGTTATAAAAAAAGTTCTTTATATAAGGTATAGTTTGGAAAACATTATATGATGAACTGTAACTTAAAAACTGAACCTTTCAAGGAAGAATGCTCATATTGAAACCAGCTGAGAACTACAGTTTGAACAAACAGGAAGGTCGAGAGTTCAGCAGAGCAATTAATCAAAAGAGGCTGAATATGACAGCATATTGACAATCATTTTGCTGAGAAGACACAGAATTTGCAAGTACTACAGCTAGATAAACAATCTGATAGAAGTGAATCTATCAATAAATTCTAAACCAGAAAGTCAAAGTTTTACCCATATAGTAGAAGTATTGACCAACATACCTCTCATTACATTTCTGATAGTTTTTATGGAGCCTCCTCTTAGGTTCAGCATTTGCAACACTCTCTGTTTGATCTAAAAGTTAAGAGAAGGAAAATAATCAAGAGTAAGTAATATCTGTATTATAGTTAATAAAGTTTTCATGAAATTAGAAACTAGTTATTACAAAACACCAAAAAAATTCATTAATGTATTCTGAATTTTCAATAAAACTATTAACATAATTATTATACAATAATAAAAAGTTTGTGACCATATTCCAACAGTTTTCAATTAAGTTATGACATATTTCTTATAAAATTACAAACAGTTCCTAAAATAAAAAAGTTTTACTAAATATTTCCAAACACACACACAGATATACATAATCTAAATTTATAAAAATACGTAGCCTCTATAAAACTTTAAACAGGAAAAAGTCTACTCACTAAATAACTGAAAAGTTTGTCTTTAGTAAAAAGCTTAGAAACTGATTATACACAGACATATCTACATGTAATTTTTGTTGATACAAACAGGACTGAATTTGACTTTCTAGACCTCACTGTTAATTCTGCAATCAAGATATATATATATATATATATACACACACATACATATCAAAATAAGTATATGAAATGGTTATTGCTAACATTGAATCATTTGATGTATAACATATGTTTGTTATTCTTGTCACTTAAGAACTTCCACCAGTCCATACCTGGATTATGCAAGTTTTCTATAACATTTGGAAAACAGAGTTAGGATTAAAAAGGATATAAAGGTTAGTGTTCTGACTGAAAGTTATTTATTTCTAAAATGTTTCATTCTATACCTTTAGGAGAAATATTCAATTATGCCACATTAAGTCTATAAGATTAAAAGTGGTAAATGTGAAAGAATCAATATCATTAAAAAAAAACAGAAAAGTATAGTATGGTTCATTTGTTCTAATAAAGTTAAAGACTGAAGCTTAAAAATACGGATTTGACTAAAAATTCCTTTAATGAGTTAAACAAGATAAAGATGTAAGAGTCAACTGAAAAACAAAAGCACAATCCAATATTTTCAAACAATAAGAAACTCAGATAATAAATAAATCAAATCAAATCTGAAAAATATTTAATAGACAGTTAACAAATAAAAGCTTGAATTAGTCACAGGAAAAAATAAATCTTTCAAGTTGACCCATTGTAAAGGTTTGTGGTCCGACAAAAGACATTTTTTTTTATTTTTATAAATCAAAGCAGCCCAGATTTAGATTAACAGATAGCAAAGAATGTTTATCAAGGTTTAGGATTACCATTACTTGCTACAAAACTGTTATGCATTGTGTAGTTTTTATACTACATCTCTCAATGTATGCAACTTGACATAAGATGTTAAAAGCTTTATTTTACTTTTTGCATGAAAATATCTAGATCAAAACTTTTGTTTATTTGTAAGTTTTTTTATGCTAACAGTTTCTTTCAGATCTGAACAACTTTCAGCACTGAAACAAACCTCCAGTGTCATTTCAAACACAAATAGCTGCTGAAGTGCTTCATATCATATAATATATTTAGTTGATACACCCATTCAACACATAATGAAGACACACAGGCAAGTCAAGCCTGAATGTTGACCCTTCTAATGTATGTCACTTCCTAGGGGTAAGTTCTGAATGACAATCCCACCATGTCACTCCCTGGGGGCCTTAAGAGTACATGCCAGGTTTGATGACAACCGACAGAGAATTTCAGTAGTTATTAGTACACACATATTAATATTGTTGAGATTGAATTTTTTTGAAACTGAAAACAACATCTTCTAAAAGTTATGAAATAATAGCATAGTGCAAGAAAATTAACACAAAGCTAAAGCAAAAACATAGCTTACAGAAGGAGATCCTGAACTACAAATATCAAGCATAACAAAATCTATCAACTGTAAGGTAAAGAGTCCTCCATCCAATCGACGAAGGTAAAATTCTTCTTCCATTGATGCATCAACTTCTTCATCATTATAACGTATTTCCTTTTTTTAGAAAAAAAAGAAGTTTTGAATAGATGTAATTATTAAATGATTAATAGCTTCAGAAAATTTTATTAACATTCCTACCATTTGGCCACAACAATTCCTATGGGGGCTAATTTAGTATCACAACATATTCTGTTAGGCTAAAGAACAGTTTATAATTAAAATGTTCTGACATGTGAAAAAAAAAGTTTTCAGTATATGATACATAATATATCATGGAACCATGTGCTTTCAGCAAACTGTTAGCAAGCACAGTGGGAAGAAGGTAGACTTTATAAAACATAAAAGTACACAATAGATTATATAACAACTAATAATTTATAGAAAGATAGGAACTGACCATACATAGTTTGGAATGATACATATAAACATGCATGCACATAAGTATGTTAAAAACGAAAAAAATATAACATCAATTATACCATAATGGTAAAGAAATATTACTGAAACACAGTATTTGGTTATTTCAGACTTGTGTTCATCAATAATAGTCATCTTTGTATTTTCTGAAAAAGATATAGCATAAACTCAACTTTTGATGGCATAGGGAAGCAGAAACAGACTTTATCTGTTAATGTTTCCATAGCAAGTGCTCTATAACCTTTGCCTTTTTTCAGTTTGTGCTTCAATTAAGGTTTCTTCATAATAAGTCATTTCAATATACAGAATCATCACTGAATAAGTTTAACAGACAACGTGAGCCTTAGCAATGACCTTTTATGTTAAAAAACATCTCATCAAAACCAAATTTCAAGTAGATTAATCAAAAATCATCATGTATGTCTCATCAGTTGATTTAAAATTTACAGTTGATTAAAACTTACAATTGCACATAAACAAGAATGGAGTGTGAAAAGTATTAAGTAATGTGAAAATTTGAAATAAAGTTAGTTACAATCAGCATATCATCGCTGTGTGAATGAAATTTTTTGTGTAAAGCTACATAAATCAGTACTGCACATAGCCAGCCCTAATTTTGAATTTATAAACTAGAAGAAAGGCAATTAATCAAAAAAATATACTGTCAACTGCATGTCATGGTAATGGGCATTGAATCATGAACCAATGGATACACAGTTAATGTTAACCACTACACCACACCCATCCAAATTAATATAATAAAACATTATACATCTTCATATTGTACAGATTTCAATGATTTTATGTAATTTTATTTTTGCACCAAGCTTCCCTACACAAATTGCTCAAGGTATTAAGCATGCAGTGTTGATTATGTTTATCTTTATGCAATAAAGTTTAGATTGAACTACTTACAGCCTTCTCTTTTTCAATCTGGTTATCAATATAGTGAACCTTCTCCAAATATTTAAAATGCAATTCCATCAGTCTGTCAACCTATTAAAGTAAGAAAATTTACAATCTAATAAACAATTTACTGTTGTGTTGAAGAAAAATAATGTTCCTTTAAATGAAACTTTAACTTGCACTCAAACCAAGTAATAACTTTGTAAGTTCAATGGAACTGAAATATGATAAGATTAATTTTGAATTCACTTTTAATGAAAAAAAACTATACTACATATGTCTAAAGATAACTAAATTATTCTTTAACTAAAAAAGGCTTAAGCTTAAACTAAATATAAATGTTTTCTCAATGAGGTTTTATGTCTAAATACGAAAAATTGGCATATTTTTCTTTACATCATTGACATTCTTTCTATATCTTGACAAAACTGAAAGTTTCCTTTTTTACACAATAAAAGACTAGTGTATCAAATGTTATTTCACAATATGTTTGAACATAATGTTAAATTCAATTTTCAAATGTATATTAGGATAACAGTTTAAAATGTCATTAGAACATCTTTTGAGAAGATATTTTATGGATAAAAAAATCACTTGATCAGTTATTTTTCTCCATGCTACTAAAATCCTAATTAATAGAAAATTGAACAAAAAAAAAGTTTAACACAACAGCAAATGTATATTAGCTATATGGTATTTTTTCTCAGAAATTCTCCTCCAGTTTTTACCTATTATTTTGAAGTTCTAGATCAAAAGACCTTTCATTTATGTCTGACAAAAAAATCACTTCAGATTTGAGCTAATTATAAGTACTACAAAAAAGCAATACCTTCTTGCTGTTACACTGGACACATTTTTTGTCATACAAACCTTTTCATGGTCATTTTCTGTAAATTTGTTAAGTAACCTCTGTCGCTGTGTACCTTTACAATTCTTGAGCATTGATGAAATTATGGAGCAAACATGTTCTGAAAGTTAAAGTAAGAATTTTCAAACATAAGGCTAATGTGGTTCAAACCTTCCATCTTTTACCATAATCAAAAATTTCTATTCACACATAAAAATAATCAAGCATCTTAAAAACTGAAAGAGCATTTTAAATATTCTTTGAGACTATTCATGAACAAACTATATTTTTGTTACAATTAAAAAAACGTTTATTAGTCTTGTATAGTAGAATGGTTGATTTGTAATTGATGAGTAAGTGCTACAAAAAAACAAGTAAACAAATGGTTCTGAAAAAAGCTTCATAAAGCCTTATTTTACAGCATACAGAACTTTTATTCTAAAGTCAATTCATTTAGTAAGAGAAGAACAAATACCTTCATGCTCTTCACCAGAAAGACCTTTTTTTTGTCCTTTTTTAGGGGTCTTCATAAAAAGTGGAAATATAGTTCGAAGCCCCAAGATGTCCACAAACTTATTACAGTTATCTGTTCCCTCTGTATTACTCATGGCATGATCAAGAACTTTTAAGGCTCCATTTCTAGAAAGCTTTTTCTCTCTGTCAAAAACATGACACATTTTAATAAATGACAAGCATCATGATGTATGCATCTTAAAACACAAGCAAACATACTAATTTCATGAACAGTAACAAAAAAACTGACAGAATATTATAAAATAATAGATAAACACCATGGAGAGTATTATAAAATCTTTAACATAAACTTGGTAGGTTCTTATAAAAATCTATATATAAAACTGGAAGTCGTTACATAAAAAAACTACACTAAAGCCTAATAAATAATTAGAAAAACTTACAATAAAACCTAGTGAACAGTTATATAAATACTACACTTGGTATTTTTTTTCCATATTCCTCTTAATTTGTCTATTGTGACCTATTGTTTCTAATAGTTTGTTGGCTCACAGCATTTAAACCATAACTGTATATGGTAATTTATGATATAAAAACCTTCACACAATCTAGAGAATTTTTATAAGAGAAAACTACATATGAAGCTCATAGATTATTTATATACACATATATATACACACACACAAAATAACAACAATGCACAGATTAGATAAAGTAGCATAAAAAAAACCTACACATAAGTCTTATTAATAAAAATGTCTGTGTACAAAGTTATCACTGTTGTTGTTGTAAAATACAAAGATTGTAGGTTATATTAAAATAATTTTGTAACCTTGCCACATCATTACTGTGCAAAGACAGTGGTCATACTTCTTTCCAAACGGGCATCCTTTTTTGCACGTGTCACAAGATTTTACTGAGTTACATTCAACATTTAATTAAAATACTTTATTATCATGGTATATAAAAAAACTTGGCACCAAAATGTAGCTAATAAAAGTTTAATATTATATAAGTTTTAAGTTCTTAATCTTAGAGGGCAATATTAAAAATTAATCCTCAATTTCCCCTAGTAAGAGAATTCTAGGTATCCCCTCTTCTCAATTTATTTACCATCCCTTCAGGAAGTATTAAATTTTAACATAAACTACTTATTATAATATTGTCATCATTCAGGCAAAGCATAATTTTTATAAACTTCAATCTTATTTTGTTACAAAACCAATCAGACCCCTCTTTCCACGCTCACCTGTCACATCCTCTCTTTCCCAAATTGTCAATAGCTCTCTCTGATGTTTAATACTATATTACTTATAACCAACAGAAAACCAAGATTTTAATCTATAAAGTAACATGTTATATTACATAGTTTTCTGTACAAATAATTGTCTGTTTCACTTTCAGTTCAAATTATATTCCCACAGGAAACATATTTACAAGCTTAGTTGAATTTTTAACAGTTCTTGTTGCATAGTCAGAAAGCCAGACAAATTATTATAGTTATAGGATATTGTCTGCATTTTGAGTGTTATTATCCTGTGTTCTTTGGTGCATTATTTAATTAAATAAGAAATAATTTTTTGCAGTAGTATCGTTAGCATAAAAAAATAGGGTTAAACTTCATCATCAACAGCAAAAAAAACAACAACAGAAGACCCAGGTAAGTACTATACTACTTCTTTTTCATGTGTATTCTTTATGCATTATTATAAAATAACTACAATCTAAAAATCAGAAACTTTTCAGGTTAGATAAGGTAAAATAAATAATAGTAATAATAAAAATTTTCCATGCATTATGTAATTTGATAGGATAATGTAAGCTACATGTTTGCCAAGTGATTTATGACTTGTGTGGTGGGAATGTTAGTTAGACACAGTTCAAAGGACAATAAAATAATAAAAGTCAAGTAGAAACAGATATATATTGTTACAAGTTTAAAGCTATTTAGAATAAACAAATGTAGTTCCATGTTATAATTTGAAGTTATTCTACATAGAAAAATGGAGTAATTTAGATTTCTTATTTTGTTATGGTGTTTATGGTCAAATTAAATAATCTCATATAGAGTTAGGGTATAGAAAATAACAGATAAAATAGGAAGTTTTACTGAAAATAAAAGTTTGAAATGTATTTAAGAGGTTTTAGAGATTACACAAGTGAAATTTGAGAATTTTCAGATGAAGAAAAGTATTTTTTAATCTTAACATGAAAATCACTTTGCACTAGGAGCAGTCAACAGTTTGGTTTCACATATTCATGGAGAAAGTTTTAGTGAAAATACTTTATTAAAAATTTAGATTTTTTTGTCAACAAAAAACTTAATGCTTACTGAAAGCTTGCAAAATTTTGTGAAGATACACAAAACATATTAGAAGCTATAGTATGGAAACTACAAAGGTCAATTTGGGGTCAAGAACTCGGCTGAGCCCACTGTGAGAGGGATAAATACAGGTAGACAGTGCAGAACAACAAAAACCTCAATCTTCTGGACCAAAACAAACTTTAGGGCAACTGTATTTCATAAAATTGAAACAAAAGTTACATATACACATGTGCATGTGTGCACACATGCATGCAGACGATGCATTACAGGGTGAATCATAATATGACAGTAATAGCCCCTTTTCCTTTCTTTTCATTTGTCAACCATGTGAGGTGTCCATAAACAAGTGGACATAGTTCATTATGTTTGGAGCTCACATAGAATATTAGGGTACTTGTATTGTGTTATAGCCAATGAGTGCATAATTATGGCTCACTCACTATTCAGAAGGAAAGATACTTACCTAAGCATTAAATTCATTAGCTGCAACCCTTCGCCTTTCAGAAACTTCTCCCTGTTTGGTGCAAACATGAGTGAAGAACAAATACAATCAAACAGGTTTTCCATCATCTCTTGCTCTTCTGCTGTGTTAGGATCATGACGTTTGAAGTACTGTTTAAAGAAAAAGAAACAATTAATCTCAGAACTTTGTATTAAAGTAAATACTAGAATTACAGAGAAGATGTACATAATATTTGTACAGATGCTTTTCCTAATAAACAATTGATTAAACAATAGCTAATTTTCTAATTTTATTACATAAATATCACAATTACAGAGAAAGATGTTAGACGATCATCACATAAATTTTTTGTTCATGGAGTAAATACTTTTAAATAAGCACTTTTATTCAAGAAGTATTGATCAAAGAATGAGGAAGTGTTAAAACCATAATTTTATTAGATAGGTAATGCAATTTAACAGAAAATATTACATAATTTTTAATTAGATATTTTAGATGATGAAAAGTATTGTAATACACACACAAATAACACAAGCAGATCCAAGAGATTAAATTGAATGTTAATCACTGATTATCAAGCTAATGATCTTGATGGTTAAAGAATTATTTCCTTTTAGAAATTTCATAAAGATAACAGTATTAAATAATGTCTTAACAAATCAGTAATTATACTGTTGATTATCAGTTGTTGTTTTTTACCAATGGGCAGTATTCAACTTTTTTTAAGTAAGGAGTTAATAGCAAATCACTGAACCTTACAAATTCAGTAAGAAATGACAAGAGAAAAAACTCTCTGGAAGTAGTTTACCATGGCTACCAAAGTGATAAAAGTGAATTTGGTAAAAATTAACACTGGCATATTTTTTTGAAAAACAATACTATTTCAGCAATGTTAAAAAAAGAGCTTATTCAGCAAAATATCCTAAGGTTTTAGTGAAGCGATAAGCAGAATGAAACCAAGGTAAAATGGGTGCCAACTGTTTTACAAAAGTAGCAAAACTTTATTAAAAATGGATTTCAATACAGAACAAGGATATGTAAATTGACAATGTTTCAGAAGTCTTCCCCTCCTCTTCAGGTGTAAGGAAGTTGGCATTCATTTTCAACTTTGTTTCATCCTGAATACACTGCCTAATTTATCAATTAAAGAACACAAGCAAAATGTTCAAAAGAAAATAGAGAAGTTAAAAGTAACTAGAATTCAAACATATATATATATACACACACACACATAATTCTTTTAATCTTTTACATACATAATTACCATTACGTAGGAGATATGCAACACATAAAAAAAAACTATTGTAACACACAATAATAAAAACTATCTTGCTAGTAAACAGATTAATTGAAACAAAGATCCTTTTCTAGACTTACTGCCAATTGCTGAAGTAAAATATCAATTCCATCTAGTTCTCCTAAGTATTTTCGATTCTCTGCAAAACATTATGAAATAAATTAAGAATAGTTTAAAATTAAACCTACCATACTATAAGAACTTTACTTAATTTATGTGTAAGTAGTCAAGTAATAAAAAAATAATTATATGGCCAGAGGTCCAAACAGTAATGTCTAATTCATAAACTGGATATTACTATTAAATCAGCACATAATGAATAATAATCATAAAACTACTATGTCATATCACTCATGTGCCAACCAAAATTACATTTATTTTTTTATTCCAAAATTTGTCATGTATATCCCAGTTAATTCTGGTATATTGTTATATACAATGCTTTAATAATAGTGAAATGAATAATACTTTACCATCTTGATTCTGAAGCAAAATAGATAAAATTTCACTACAATATAGCTTATTAGCATCAAAGGGCATCTTTGTCTGAAAAAAATAAAACCTTTCAGTGTAATTTTTAAATTAGAAAATACAAAAATCATAAACACCAGCAAAAAACGATAAGTATGCAATACATTAAAACAAGGCTTTGATAAATAGGAACCAACAGACAGAGAAAATGTGCATGTAAAAGTTAATGCACTGAATATATACACTCACTGATAACCAAATTTCATATTGAGTAACTGAATCTTTTATACTTCACTGCACTGGCTTCATGATATAGCTTGTTTATTTGCTTGAATTTCATGCAAAGATACACGAGAGAGCTATCTATGCTTGACGTCCCTAATTTAGCAGTAAAAAACTAGAGGAAAGGCAGCTAGTCAACACCACCCACAGCCAACTCTTAGGCTACTCTTTTACCAATGAATAGTGGGATTGATCCTCACATTATAATGCCTCCACAGCTGAAAGGGTGAGCATGTTTGGTGGGACGAGGATTTGAACTTGCAACCCCCAGATTGCAAGTCGAACTCCCTAACCACCATGATATAGCACACACATGAATTCAAGTTTTCATCAAAGATAAAATTACACTGTTGTCCCTTAATAAAATTAAAAATTGTAAATTTTCACAAATTTCTCATTCTACTTTTAAAATACCATTTATTTTTAAATTTTCCTGACATGTATCTAAGTTTGAAAAAAATTGGGAAAATATTCTCAGTCTGAGAATATATTTGAAAACCTAATATATTATCTGCAGTCAGACATTTCAAGCCTAAATAAGAATATTTATAATTATATGAATAATACACTTTATATATGCAACATTAAGCACATAACTATTTGATTTTCTAGCAAAAAAATTCCCACTTGAATTAACTTTTTACATAAATATATTATACTTTATATTAACAAAGTATTAATGGTCAAGTCAAACTAATTAACTGTAACATATTATATCCTAGCTAACAAAGTGATTCTGCTTCCAACTTATACTTAGGTTAAATTTACCATTAGTAAAGAAAGAATCTAAAATAATTCTAAACAGCTATTAAATAAACAAATTCTCTAATATAAAATTAAGTGAAATATTAATAGTCATTGAAATGAAAAAAAAAAAAGTAATAAACAAATCTCTCATCTTACCTTAAGCCTTTTCAAAAGCCACTGCATAAGTCCTTGTTGAGCAGCTTCAGCACAGATATCTGGTTTGAGCTCTGTAAGGTTTTCGACTATGCCTAATAAAAAAACAACTTATGTCATATACAACACACAGACTACACATTTAACAGTTATATACTATGTTTAATTCACTCACTAAATGTATCACTGCATTACAGCCATAAAGAAACCTTAAAAATATTTATAACAGCTCTTAATGCTATGATTAATCACTACAGATGGTCAGTACAGTTATGAAGAATGTCAAAATAATATTGAGAACTTAAACCTTTTCACTGAAAGTAGAAGACAGGTATAAAGTCTACCACACACAAACATACATACATATCACTCCTCATATTTCTAAACAAAACAAGAATGTTTTAACAAGTGTTAAACCTAAATGATACCATATAAAAATAGTAACTGTGTATTTGTATGATCCCTTACTGTAGGCTGGGTGTTGCCTAGTAGTAAGGTGTGAAGATGCTGATCAGAAGATTCAAGATTTGAGTCACTG